ATAAAACAACAATATAAAAATATAATTAGAAGCGGGGTTGGGGAGGAGAGAGAGAGAGAGAGAGAGAGAGAGAGAGAGAGAGAGAGAGAGAGGCGTCAATTCTCTGTAGAAGAAAGAGAGAGAATTAATTAATTAAAGATAATTAATGAGAAGAGAGAGAATGGATTCTTAATTAATATGGTATCAGGATTTTAATCCCAATGTATAAATATTAATTAAAGAGAAAAATATTATTTTTCCATGTCATGTTTAATCTCAACCATTAAAAGTGGAGTAATCTAATGGCCCAAAAATTGTGTCAAAACTTGTGTCAAAAATATGATGTCACGGATCCGCCCCCATATATATATATATATATATATTAGGGTTAAGGTTATGCGCAGCTTAAAGACATATGCCATTGAATTAGATAGGGGACAGAAGATCTGGACTCAGAAAGGAGAGACTTGCAGAGAAAGGAAGAATAACAAATAAGAGGAAGAAATGCATGAAGTTTGGCGTTTCTTTAGGAAATAATTTAATTGACATTTTTTTTAGGAAATATTTGGGGTTGGTTTTAGGAAGTGTTAAGTTATTCAAAACAAGAAAGGTCAGTACTGGTAGGAAAACTTGGTTTAGATAAACGGAATCTATTAAAATTCAGCAACTTGAATTTATACAAAGTAGGGTTAACGCATAGCAGAAAAGGAAACGAAAGTCAAATAGGAAACAAAGTCTACAATTGTACAAGATTTAGGAAATAAATCTCCTATAATTAACACACGCCAACAAATACATTCATTATGTTTTATATGAAAGCGTAGCGGTGCAACGCATAAGCAAATCCAACAGAAGAAATAGGAAAACCAAGAGCTAATAGAATAGATCAGTGAACTCCAAAAAGAAAATAAAAAATGGAGAGGAGGCTCCGAGAGATGGGAATTCCGGAGGGGGCGGCGGTGGCGGATGATACTGGTACCAACAGTAAGTCTCTATATATATGTACCTACAAGTGCAATAGCAGGAGTTTTCATGCTCGTTATGATATCTCCGCCATCGGATTGAGCGATTTATCATCCATACTCAAATCCAAATCCCAATTAAAGATTGACAAATTAGAGTTGCTGCGAAAACTGGCTTCTGTGGAGGGCAAGGATGTTCCCTACGATATGGGTTGCTGTTTGTTCGGCTCCCAAATTCTTCTTGCCGGCGGCCGGAAACCGGAAGACCCGGAGCAGGACGATACGTCTCTATACGAACTAGATGCGGGCACACAAATTTATCTGTTTGAGGCAGATGACAATGAGAAAACAAAGGCCAAAGTTTACAATCATGGCAACCGTTTTGGATCTTTTCCTCCTCCTCAGAGTCACAGTCACGGTGGGGGGATCATCAAAGGGGACTGCTGCTACGGTGAACTTCATCAAGGGAAACCTCAACCATTGGTGGTTGAGGTTGCTGGGAAGCTGTTTGTTCTCTCTAGTGGTCCGGTAGATTTCCCTAGTCCAGCTTTTGAGGAGTTTAACTCGAATAAGGGGATTTGGACCACTCTGCCGGACCCTCCGCCGTATACTGGTGACTGTCGTGACTTCTCTTATGCAATCGTGGGCACCAAGATCATGGTCTCCACCCCAATATCTTCGGTTTTCTGCTTTGACGCCGATGCCCCGAATCCTGGCCAATGGTCTGTGTGCTGTGCTGAGCCTTTTCCCTTCGAAGGTAGGGCTTTAGTGTTGGACTTGGAGGAGGATGATAATCGTAATAAGATAGTGTTTGGCTATGAACACATCCCTGGACATGGCTATGATGTAGTAGCCTACACCATGTTCAACGATGATGAAAATGGTTATTGTTATTGTCATCGCATCACCCCTCTACATCTGCTGACAGAGTTCAGTGAATTAGTTTTTGGAACAGATAACACGTTTAGTTTTGTCCATCTAGGAGGTGGAAAAGTCTGCTTCGTTATTGCCTATTCCATGGCAAGCTTTGAAGGTGATGATGATTATCCTATTCTTGGGGAGGAGGAATTGGATCTTATTGTCGTGACATTCGAATTTTCCATTTCCAAGAAGGATGGTAATTCTACAAGATTCTTCTCAACCAAAACTTTGGGTTCGTGTATCTTTCCTTTCGATTTTGCTTCAGAATCTGGTAGCGTCTTCGAGGCCAAATTGCTCGGTTGCTTTGTGCGCTAATTAAGTAAGCTTCTCCTGCTGCTATGCAATGCAACTTCTTTCCTTTCCTTGATCGCTATATATTCCGTATGATAAATTTGTTTCTCAGTGACCAAATTAAAATTTCGTGTAAAATCTAATCACCTACCCTTATATTTTGTTGCTAAGTACTACTAGACTAGTACACAGACACACACTCAACGCATAAACGTATGAGCTTTTGATTGTGGCCAGGTTGCTTTGAAACTTATTCTCCATATGTCCCTCTTGTTTTAATCTTACAGTTGTTTTAGTTGAGGTATTTGAATAAAGTTTTGCTTAACCTTTATTACTACTCTTTTAGTTACTCTTAAATCTGTGATTCGAGCATCAAGTTTTCTTTCTTGGCTAATTATGAAGATTCTTGAAGTGTCCAATGCTATGAAGTACTGCATGTTCATATTCTTCTTTGGTAAATTAGCTGAGACTTGAGATTAAAAAAAAAAGAAAAAGGGTATACTTGTAAGTTCATTTTAATTTTCAGTGTTCCAAAAAGGAGAATGTTGTGTGGTTATTTCATCATGGAAAACTTGATTTGGAATATTAAGTTTCAGCCTAGATGCTCACGGCTTTGCTTGTCTTTGACAGGGGCAGCATCAGGGAACATGGTTAGCATTTGGATATAGAAATTTTAGAGAATTATGTGTTGGGATTCGGTCAAAAGTTATGTACTTACAGTCCTGGCTTGGTGTATTTAGGGCAGGATATCAAAGATCACCTTATCACATCCAAGTTCAGTGGCATTCTGTTCAATTGGTATTGATAGTGGGTGACGTCACATTCCTTATTATTTTTCTGTAGTATTCACTACATTTAGCTATCAATTCTAAATCTAATTGAATGAATACCAATTTTCTTTTTTGGTTGAAATAAAAGTACGTAACATTTCTTCAGCGAATAAGCCAAAACAAAGGATCAATGATTATCGTTGATAATAACCAATTGGAAATTTGGATACAGTTGAATAAACTTATATCTCAATCCCCAATATGATAGACAAATCAATATCTTAACTCCTTGAAGCCCTTTCGGACAGGAGGGGTTAGTATTTGATAGGAACTATTTTAGTTATAACCAGCAATAAGTGTGACCAATCTTTGCTTTTCAGTTCTAAGCAGTCTAAATTTTTCTTAATTGAAGCAGAGACAATTACAGACCCCAATTGTCATGACATAGAATTTGGAAATGCCCAACACCTATTAACGTTCTACTATGATGCACTTGTTTCTAACAATCGATATAGGATTCCCGTTGCACTCCTTTTTTGGCCTCCCAGGTGAAGATCTTCACTGCCACAGCAAACCACTCGTGTCCAAGATTCAACAAATTGCAGATCAAGGGGATCCTAAAACATATATATGAGCCCTGTGATTCTTAAATTCTTTCATGTGTAAAATAATGTTGTCCACCTGAAATCTATATTACAAGGTATCATTCCCTGCTGCACCCCACAAAAACTTCAGAATGTACACTTCAAACAAATGCAGGTACCATCACTAGCGCATCAACTACTTGCACCAAAAGTTGTGAAACTCTAATATTCGTCAAAGAAGTCAACCAGTACCGCTAGTACCTGAAAAAATACATACAATTTTAATGGGTAATCAGTAAGTGAAAGGCACTACCGGGGATTCATTAGTCGTTATCCTGGGCCTGTTAATTACTTGTTTGGACACACTGATTCAATTTTAACAGGTACACATGCATGCAAGCAAAACATCAAAATGCATTGGTAAAAGTCAAATATGATGAAACCTAGACCTTCTGCATACTTGATCAAGGAGACTCCTTAAAGACTATCTGCGATTGATATTTAGGGTACTCATACAAAACTCTCCTTTTTTTTCGTCCAGACCTACACCAGCAGTTGTGATGCTTAGAAAGCAAATAGTACATTGATCCGAGGCAAGAAATGTATAACCTTACCAAGTAACAGTAGCCTCTTCTCAATCTGATTTCTCTATTTCTCGAAATCTCTTATCCCATTCTTGGGCCTCGTAGTCTTGCTCAACCAGATCCCTGTCCGTACTATAGACAATTCTATCCTGCCCAATGAATGTTCTTTGGGCCATGTCCCGAGCACTGAGGAGCTGAATAACATCATACAGTAAAGCAATAAGTAACTATTTTTCTATAATTGAAGGAACAAAGTTAATCAAGTTTCCGTTCTTTATTCAGTTGTATTTACGTCAACAAGTACAGGATTTCACATGACAAATCAAATGTCAAGTCACCCACCATATGATCCTATAGTGCAGAAGAGTACCTTGTGCCCTAAGACAACTTCATGTGAGCACTCAAGTGAATAAAACTAGATGATTGTTGTTTGAACTTCACTTATTACAAGAGTTAACAAATGCAGGATTGTCAGATTAGCATGTTTTACTTTAATTATTCCGTCAAGAAGATTAGAATGTATTAATGGCTAAATAAATGGCTAAATAACAAACATAATCAACTGCAAAAGGGATTTTGAGACAGCAAACTAATCAACTGCAAAAGGGAGACAAAATTCTAGAGAAGCACCAATACAAACCTTTCGTCTTAGTGAAAGATCTGGCAATTCAAGGGCTCGAGCACACTGCTGTCTTGCTTGATTTCTTTTCTCTATGTCAGCATTTGTCTTAAGCACGATGAACCACCGGAACAAAGGAATTGCAAAGAACGAACCAGCATAAATCTGCAAAATAATTGCAGGAAAAGATAAATCTAACCCCATACTATATTATAATTACATATATGGATGTGTATATACTGTATATATCATTGACAGGATGAAGGTCAGTGTTCTAAAGCACTTAAAGATCAGTTGACCAGTAAACATCGTTAACTACAACATGTATAACAGGAGAAAGTTCAAATTTCTCAGCACTAAAAGATGAACTAAACAATAGATAATCAGAATCAATTTCTGTACAAAGCAATTGCAAAAAGGCACATATGCTTAGTTCCAATTTTTCAACCTCCGATCACCAGCACATCAACGAAGCCACTTGCTGGTTACTGTTACTAAAAGGCTACCCCAAGAAATCAGATTTTTAAAGGTGCAGTGAGATCACATGAAAAATAGCTGCCAAAAAATAAATTAGAAGATAACCACAGTGCCACTAACCAAGTAGACAAAGTACGTGAAAGTAACCAGTCAAGCAAATTCCTAATGTCAATATCAGAATTCAGGCTTTTTATGACTTTTCCATTATAAACAATAAAAGCAAAACATAAACAAACACTTCCACAATAACACCAGAAGTCATGAGCAAAACTCTCACTTGTAATATTGATTAAATAAGAACTACTTAACAAAAATATACATAGTCTGGATCACAGGTAGGGAATTTTTATTTAATTGAAAGCAAATCATACCTGAAGTAGTGGAAATATGCCAGTAATAAACTTAATAAAACCAACTGGTGCAATTGAACTATCCCTTCAAATAAGAATGGAAGCGGGACACATCAGATCAATATAGAGTAATTCCAACTGAGGAATAACAAAGTTCAACTCAAACATACTTTAAGATGGCTCCAAGAAAGATAACCCCAAATAAATTAAGCCCACCAAGTCCAGCGACCATTGCTCTCTCAGTAATGCTAGTGTTGCTGCAAAGAGAAAACTTAACTGTTTCAATTTAGTTTCCAGATGAATTCACAACATAATTGGGAAAATCAAATAGAATGATAAAGGACCTGAATTGCCATTTCTTCTCCTTGAAAAATTTATCAACTCCTCCAACAAAATCAGCCCATCTTCTCCCCACATATTCCTTCCTTCCACTACTTGGAGTAGAAGCTGTGCGCTGTAGAGATGGAAATTGGTACAGAATGTTTCCCTGCATAATAAGCAATTTTTTTTTTGGTGAATAACTACTTATATATCTTTTCATTTACATAACAAAAGTAAAAAATTAAAAAAATTAATGGATGGCAAGCATGATGGATTTAAAATCCAGAAGCATATAGTCAATTTCATACAGCAAACACTTAAAATTAATGATTTCACAATTTGCAATGATGTACTAGTTCAAAGGAAAAGGAAAGTGATTTATTAAACAGTTCTTAAAGTATGTATATGGAGAAAGACCAAGAAACTGAAGTCATTGCTTTAAACCAAAACGTTAAACATACCTCTTCATCTATTACAGGCTGACCCTCATACCGTAAAAGAACAGGTAAGATGTATGTTTCATCATTCTGAAATTAACAGAGGAAAAAAACGTCAAGCATCCGAATAAGGAACAAAAAGGAAACATGCTGAATATTGTAAAAGAAACTGAAATTTTCAAGTCCGTCAAGAGTTTGAACTGATTGAAATCCTCAATCTGAAGCCAAACAACAAAAATATACAACTGGTGAACTCAATTTATGGTTGGAAGTTTTTTCTTTTTTAAATAAAGAAAGTAAAGAGCACAGCTATCTAACATTTTTTAGTATGAAGCTTTGAAGCACCATGTACAAGAACAATTTCGGTTTGATCACATGAGGAACTTTTCCAATGTTCTACTGTGTACTGTGTTCAATTAACTAACCAATGGATACAACTGCTTATTCTTGACCATCAAACAAATAATCCAATCTCAGCTGGAGCTAGTACGAATTCTCCAAATACAAGAGCAGAGCTTGATTACATTATGAATTGGGAATTCCACATGAACTTCTACAACAACAAAATATTTACCAGAGTTCCCCCGGAAGTTTCTACATCAAGATATGGAGCAAGCTCTTCAGCTGCAACAACTCCACCATTAGAGGCTATGTATTGCCCAATCTGCAAGTACAGTTCATGGAACAATTGCCATTACATTTTTATACAGATCTGCCATTATTTCTAATGACAATCAAAATAACAGTTCCATCATAACAACAGATTATAGAATTTTAGGAATAAGATAAAGAGTCCCACAACTAAGGAAGTCTTCTATATAATTTCTGAATGTTTCAACATAATTTTTTATTATTTAAATATTGATGAATGACACAAGGACATGTTTTATTCATATGTTTCCTCTCTCGTATTTAACTAACTATATACAAAAGATATTATGATTAAAGTATCATTTCCATATAATGATAATGCTTTAAATGATGATAAATTGTAAAAAATACAAGAGACCTCAACAAAGTTGTAAACTGATGCAGACTCTTCCCAAGTATTCCATCAAGGAATTGCATAAGAATTTACAAGAAGACACCATAACTTATTTCAAATTCCAGTATAAAAAGGTCTTCACAAGATTTTTAAGGGGCAATATGTACATGTAGCTTGAGAGGAAGGGGAGAGAATTATATATACCCCTAATTACTAGTTTAAACTCTAACAAGGGAGAAATGAACTTGAACTAAAAGGTATACGAACACAACCAATAAACTGAAACAAATTGTTGAAAGCAACGAACCACTGAACTCAGTGCTCGATTATTACCAACTTCCATCTCTCTTCTTCGATTCCTTGGTTTGGATCACCATCGCCAAATACAAATGAGAAAATCTAAAAGAAAACATTTATAAAGTCAATACTTTCAGTTTAAACAAAACTAGGAAAGAGCCAATAAAAATAAAGAATGATTCAGACCAACACATACAGATTCAACGAATTTCATCTTATTATCATCTGTTTGTGGTCGTCGCCTCCTATAGTAATATGGATCCCAGTACCTTAATGAAATAAATAGTAAGGGAAGTGTTAGCAAAAGTCTCTTCCAAGTTTCAACGAATAAAATAACTAAACTTGAAACCCTTCCATATTGTTATGAAAAGCATACTTAACATGCAAGTATAGAATGCATTACCAAAAGAGGTCAGTGGGGCTGAAGTAAAAATTGAACCCCGAATCATACGACCTTCCTCCCCGTCTTCCGCGATTGTCATCTTCACTGTAACCGAAACACTAATGTCAATCATCCTTCCCACAATATAAACGTATTTATCAATAAAAACAATAACGGTGCCCTAAAAATTTACCTTCTACCAGAAGACAGAGCAACAACAATTGCAGTATAAACAAGAACAATGGAAGCAATTAGGGCAGTTCCAAATGAAACCCTTGCTACATACTCGGCCCCGGCCTGTCAAAGGGCATGGTATTAGTGCCAATTGCCAAACATTAGTTACAAAACAAACTTCAACAAAAAATCAAATTCCACAAATAATCACTACCTTTGCCTTCTCAAGCAGAGGCTCAACTTTCATTCTAAACGATTTGCCTACAAGCTTTGCTCGATAATCCTTGGGGAAAACATAGAGTACATCACCTTCATCCGAGACCTGTTGAGACCATCTTGAAAACAACAATTGCACTCACCCACTAACACAATTTGTAAAAGTAACTAAACAAAGCTACAGACCCCATTCACTTTCTTCACAAACACAACCTCCCAACAACTATCACATACATATATGTGTACAAGTACATATATTTTTGAAAATAAGTACCTCCAAGAAGCCTTCTGTGTCAGCAGCGAGAGCTTGCAAAGCATTCTGAGCTTCATTGAGCTTCAGCCCAGACCTACCGGCCACGTCACCAATCGTCACTCTTCCTCCACAAGCGTCCACAGCTTCCATTGCTCGCTTTCTCACATCTGAAGGCAACTTATCGCTCTCGACAGCACCGCCGGGCCTAATTGCAGTGGTGGCGTCGAGGCTTGCCTTCACAGCCGGGACAAAAACCCTAGATTCTCGAAACTTCGCGCCAAAGCCCGGGAAAATGGGCGTTTGGATAAGACGAAAGGTTTTGGGACGGTTGGGGAAAAGTGAGGCTTTGAACACGAGGCGAGAACGCGGCTTCGGTGGAAGTGTGAAGCAGGTGGCTATTGACGCCATTGATTGATTTCTGTTGAAAAGTGCAATTTTTGGTAGGGTGGTTTTCTAAGTTCTGGCCATGGAACTCACTTTCTGTCCTGAGTGGCTCAGAATTGGAGCTTCGGATTTTCTTTTCTTGTTTCCCTGTAGAAGCTATTGGACTAGGAGGAGATGATGCAGATGAAATGACTGTCCTGCCCTCGTCAGATATTAAGGGATAATATCGTTTGGAAAATTGAAAATTTGTTGTTGGTGGAAATGTCAATAACAAAATTATCAGAAGTACCCTTTTCACATTCCACACTGGGAACATTTTTCCTCACAATTTAAGGAACGTTTTTTCTCACAACTTTAATCTAACGTGTGCTCTTACCATCCATCTCAATATTTAACACATCCATAAACATAACAATGGTTACACAAATCAAACTAAAAAGTTAACCATAATTATACTTATGAACACATGTCAAATATTAAAAAGGATGACGATCATATACTTTGGGTAAAAGTAGTGAGCAAAAATATTTCCTTTCACACTGTCAAATGATTGAGAAATAATCAAGTTCATTAAACAGTTAATCAAGTTGCTCAAAACATACCACCTTTGAAGTTGGAATCTATTTACTTTCTTTGTTTCCTTCACATTCAAATGTCTGTTTATTTCTTCATTCGATATCTATTTAAATCCTTAAATTTTGAAATCACTCCATCCCAATAGATCTTAACGTTCTGTCTTGATTTTTCATGAAATAAAATAAAATAAAACATTTTGTTTTGATATCAACAAATAACTTTCTTTACCTTAAGGTATGTTTTAAAATAAATAAAAAATAAACCAGAGGTAGATGATCTGAATTTATAGTTCTATTTCTAATATTGAGAAGAAGAAAAAAACATTAAACCAAAGCAATAACTGCCCTAAGCTGCACACGCACCGCCAAAAACATAGTAGCTAGTAATCAATTGTTTCATAGCTATTTTTATTAAGCAAATCATATAAATAATACGTTATATCTTGTCATAATGTACATTGAAAAGTCGGTACTCATAATCGCTTCTGGATTTAAACAATACCAGCCATGGTCCTGTGCAGAATCTCTACCTGCTATGAACAACACATATTAAAGTGTCAAATATCGAAATCTTCCTGCTGTGCCGCCCTTCACTGAATTTCTCATGATCATAACCACTCTTGCTGTATTCTGCTGTATTCATGAATGCAACTACAAACTACATCCAGTGCCTCCAAATCCCGAAATTCTGGTTCCGTACCGTCCAAGAAACCAATCTTTTTGTCTAGGAGATTATAATGCGTGAAAGTATACACGTAATGCTGAGGATGTAGCCAAAACTCACCCAAATGGAAGTGAACACAGCAAAGAATCACCACATTGAAAGCTCTACTGTGGAAGCTCCACTATAGATTCACATCATGCTGCATTCCTAAAGCTCCAGTAATATGCTTCGTTTTTAACTCATTGTCGTTGATGGATCATCTCCCAAACCCATCGTCGTAACGAAGACAACCTGCTATAGAATCAAAAGGGCTTGTAGACATTTTACTTATCTTCTCTTTCTATTTTTGTTATCTATACAGTGTCACGTCTCCAGCTTTCAACCGCTGATACAGACCAATATCTTGCCCTCTTGCAATCAAAATCTTCAAAGAAAACTAATAACTCAGGAAAATACTAGAGTTTAAGCCAAGGTATTCCCCAATTAAAAATTGTTAACTGGGTGCTGAACAGATTTTTTGACATTAGTAAGCCCATCAATCAGCCAGCCTGTTATATGTACCAAGGTCAGGTATAAACCCCTTATCCAGCATCTCATCCACCAGCAGTTTCTGCTCCTTCCTTTTGCCTTCTCTTGAATACCCAGATACCAAAATGCTATAAGCCGTGCTGTCTAGGTCCAAGCCTTTGCTCGAAGACAACAGCTTAAGACTATCCGCCTCCACTGTTCTCCTCAGATTACAGAGATCTTGAAGAAGACAATTAAATGTCACAATATCCGGAACTATACCTTCTTCAAGCATCCTTTTCATCAATCCAAAAGCTTCATCAATTCTTGCTGACCTCCTCAAACCCTCAATCAAAGTGGTACAAGCAATCAAGCCCGGAACATTTCCTTTCCTCCATAGGTCATCCACAACCTCCAATGCTCTACCCGAATTTCCTTTCTTACAGAGCACCTCAATAAGACCAAGATAATCATACCATTTAGGCAACACTCCTTTTCTTGAAAAATCTATCAACAACTCACACGCCTCTGAAACCCGACCTTCTCTACAAAGGCCATCAACCAAAATCTCACAAGTCACACTCGAAAACTTGCACCCGAACTCAATCATCTCATAAGCCATCCCAATGCCATCATCAAACTTCCTCTCCCTAAAGAAACCTTTAATCAAAGTATTAAAACTCACCACATTGGGGCTACACCCCTTCTCTCTCATATCCTTAAACAACTCCAAGGCTAACCCAAATTGTGAATTACGACAGTAACTACTAATCAAAATATTGAAAGTAAACACATCAGCCTTAACTCTATCCTTCATCATCTTATCATACAACCCCAAAGCCTTATCATGCTGACCACATTTCACAAATCCATGAATCAAAATGTTATAGACCACAACACTAGGCCTCCCATCAATCAATTTCCGCATAGAATCAAACGCATTCACAGCATCACCCAATCTCCCAACTCTACAATAAGCATTAATGGCAAATTGGAAAATGGGTTCTGTTCTGGGGCAAGAGAAAATACCATCCGAGCAAGGACAAGGGTTGGAGACCATGAAGCTGAGGAGAGAACCCAATTCGACGAAGCGGTCAGTGATTGCGAGCGTGCGGGCCATCCATTCGAATGTGGAATGGTCATGGCGAAAGGAGTCGATGGAGGAGGCCCAGTTGAAGACATGGAAGTCGAAGTGGGCGAAGGTGGGGTGGTGGTGGAGCTTGGATTTGAGGAAATGGAGGAGGGTTTGGGATGTGAGAGGTGGGTTTTTTATATGGGTTTTGAGGAAGTTGAGGAGGTGGGTGTGGTTAGAAGTTGGGGAGAGAGTGAGGGTTGGGTGAGGGGTTGATGGGGTTTTGGGTGCGCTTGGAAGTGTTGGGTTTGGGATTGGAGAGAGCGCTGGTTTTGGGTTTTTTGGGGTTTGCTCCAGTAGTGGTATGGTTACTGGTCTTCTGATCTTATTCATCACCAAACGTTTCACTGAAACTCAAGCTCCACAACAATGGCTGTGACGCTTATGTCTCTGCAAAACGGTGCGTTTCATTCACCCGACAAATGAGAAAGAAAGAAAGGTGCTTTGACATAAATACCCCGCCTTTATATAATACAAAGCAAACCCCGTTCTTGGTCGAAAACTCGAAAGGAAGCTGAACTGAAGGGAAAAATCCCGACTTGGGTGCCGAAGCAGAATGAGAGCTGAGAGCTTCAATGCCGCTTTCTCCTCTGGTGTCCGTACAATTCAAAGGCCTCTGAGCTCATCAATTTTCGGCGTAACGAAGCCTAAACTTATCGCTGCTGCGCCTTCTAAAAGCTCCAGTAATTTTTGCTTCCACTCATCTTCTACTTTGGTCTTATCCTTTGTATACGTTAATATATCACACAATTTATCTTCTTTTTTTGGTGTAGGATTTACTCGAATTTCAATACGCTGCGCGGTTCATTTTCGACCTTGCATTGATATACACAAGGTTTTGCAACTTGAATTTATCAAATTTCATGCTTTAAGTCATTTGGGTATTGCTATAATTGGCTTATATGTGTGTGTACTTAGCCCAGTTGTGTTTTTGTGTTTTGTTGATTTTCTGTACTTGTTATGTTGATTTGGTTTTAGGGGAAAGTGAAACAAATTGTCGGGTCTACCCTTTCGGATTTGAAGGAGGATGGGTCTGCTCTTGTTACCAATTTTGTGTCAGATAAGTCAGCGGCGGAGTATGCAAAGATGTATAAGGAAGACGGCCTTACAGGTGGTCATGTGATCATGCTTGGAGCTGACCCTTGTAGCAGAGCTGCAGCCATTGAAGCTCTGCATGCCTATCCTGGTGGGTCTTTGGTTGCCTTCTTGTTCTTGTAGATTTTGTTGCTTTGTTCGAATTTTTCATTTGATTTTGGATTCATATGATTGGAAGTAGTCTTCTATTAATTATCCCCTTAATAATTTATGCAAAGTGCTTCTTTGGATTGTTCTCTCAGTTTCAATAAAATGCAACTGGCTTTGGTGCAAATACAGTTTAAGTTTACTAAGTGGCTGGAAATGAGTGTGGATTGGATTAAAAGAAAATGAAACTTAGCATCAGTAGGCTTGGAAGGACTGACATCAAATATATGCTAACTTCTGTAAAAATATAAGCTTCCCAGTATTATTGCATGAAATAAGATTGTCAGGCAAGTTGAGTGCCTTGGGGGTGTGTTATTTCACTTTAATCTCTGTAGTTGATGATATCTTTAAAACTTACAGATTTTCCTCTGATGAACTTGCTGCGAGGACTGGTATAATCTAGGTGGTTTGCAAGTTGGAGGTGGGATCAATTCAGATAATTCTTTGCGTTACATAGAAGAAGGGGCTAGCCATGTCATTGTCACCTCAGTAAGTTTCTACCTTTTGTTCTTTCCTTTTACATCTATATATTGATAAAGAGGACTCATTTAGATCAAATCATTTCATGAAAGCATTTCTTTACACCCGTCATGGTTTTGTTGCAGTATGTATTCAACAATGGGAAAATGGACCTTGAAAGGCTCAAAGACCTTGTTTCTGTTGTTGGAAAAGAGAGGCTTGTTTTAGACCTTAGCTGCAGAAAGAGGGTAGGAAGCCAGCCAAAAATTAAATCTTCTTTGTTCTTATTTATGTTTTATTTTCAGGGCCAAGCAGACTTATTTATTTACTTGATTCTCGAGCAATTTTTATATAGCTTCTTTGTGATCTGTGATATGAATAGACTAACAATTTTCTGAGACAATTGCATATATTAAGAATTAGAACTATCAGTATCTAATCATTATTAAAGTGATTTTGTTGCTCTTAATTTTCTCCTTGAGCATTTTCAACTACCTCACTTCCTGGGCTTTTACGTGTTGGCCTTAATGTGCATTTACTTTAATCTGCAGGAAGGC